GGACTATTCAAAACTGTTGCCCTAGGAACAAATGCCGGCTGTTTACCCACTGTACAGCAACTCGGAAGGTTTACTCCAAAACGTGCTGTTTGCACAGGGGTTTGAGGGGGTCTCATGCACAGACAATACACACAGACTCCTCTGGCCCTCCCTAGCCAATGCACTACCTACCTGTCCCCCCACACAACCCTGCCCCTTCACCTCCAGCTCCTCGGAGACCAGGATTGGCACTTTTATTAATTTATTTATCTATTTACTTTGGTTTGGGAGCCACGCCCAGAGGTGCTCAGAGGTTACTCCTGGCTCCGTGCTCAGGAATCACTCCTGGCATCCTGCGGGAGTCCCTAGGGTTGTCTGGGATCGAACCCGGGTCTGCCACGGCAGGCAAGGCAAATGCAGTCCTATGGTTCAGGCCCGGGGACTGACACTCGTAACCCTTGCTGCACAGTTAGAGCCCTGTCTGTTTATAAACATGATCAACTTGCCCCATTCGGAAAAAAAAAAAAAAAAAACCTTGCTCCATCATCTCTGCGCGATTAGTTTCTTCACTCTCAAAACTCCCCGTAGCCACATTTGGTTCATTGGTTGGTGGTGGGTGGGTTTGGGGGCGACAGTGGGCAGTGCTGTGGGTGACTCCCAGTGATGCTGAGAGGACCAGGCAGTGGGGTGCCGGGGTGGACCCCAAGTCTCCCACACACATGCTCTCCAGCCCCTCTGAGCCACTACCTTGGCCCCTTTTGAGACTTTCCATGTCAGGGGCTCAGCCATGTTATTGCCACGCTCAGCCAGGGTGCTGGGGACTCCCTTCTCTCACAGACGTCCCGCCTTGCCAATGCAGCAGGTCCCTGAAAAGCTCCCTGGCCTTCTCCTTCCTCCACCCTGTCCATCCCTTCTGTGCCCAGAGATTCAATTGCACCTTCACATCCGACCTCTGACCTCCGAGTTGGTGATCTTTCACCCCCAGAGCCACAGATGTTCCCTCCCCGCCCACCCCTGCAGATTGCTCCCCAGGGAACTCCCGCCAGCCAGGAGAGCCAGCAAACAGACCCACACACTTCCTCCCAGTCCCTCTACTGCCCTGCCCCACCCCCTCCAGTCTCAGGCACAACACCGCCCACCAGGCTACCAATCAGGGAGCACCATCCTGCTCAGCCCTCAGGAACAGGCACCCTCCATCCCCACCAGAAGGATCATTCATGGCCATCTCTGAGAGCACTTCACTGGTGGATAGATGGAGAGACAAGGGGGGGAGGGAAGGAAGCAGGGGAGGGGATGGGGGAGGAGGGAGAAGGCAGGACCCAAGCTCCCTGACAACTTCCCCAAGCAGTGAGCTGCCCACCCCCCACCCCAGGCTGCGTGATGCCCACAGAGCACCGGGCGAAGCAGGAGTGTCATGTGTGGGCATCCCACTCAGGTCAAGGGTCAGAGAAGCTTAGACGATGAAACCAAGGATGGAAGGATGCTAAGGACAAACCAGCCTCCCAGAAGATCAGGTGACAGGGCTGGGGAACCCAGGCATGGACCCAAGGAAGGGGTTTTCCTGAACAGGGGACTCTCTCCCGCGCTGGTCCTGAGCTGGCCTGCCTCATTCCCAGTGTCCCTTCCCATCCAAACATGGTGTCCGCATGCCCTTGTCCTCAGACCCTTACAGAGTCCTGCTTTCAAATGCCACCAGTGGAATGTCAGCTTAAGAACCAATGTGCCAGGTATTTGCAAAACCTAACGCTGATGGATTTCAGTTTACCCAAGCTGCAGAAACTGTCCCCAGAGTACCATGGAAAGCGGGAAGGGGGGTGGGGGGTTGAGGTGTTTATGGAGGTGGAGCCACAGTACAAGGGGCAAGGTCTGGCTGTGTAGGTGGCCAACCTGAGTTCAGTCCTGACACCCTGATGGCCCAGCCAGCGGTGATCCCAGAGTGCAGAACCAGGAGTCCTGAACACAGCAGGGTGTGGCCCAAAGAAACCAACGAAAAAAGTTTTTATCTCAAAGAACTCGAAGAGCATCAAAAATTCGAAAGCGACAAGGCCAAGTCATTCTCCAGGGAACTCAGGTGATGGGGCGACCCTCACAACCCATCAAGGCAGATGGAATATTTCCAGCCACCTGAAACCCCAGTCCTGGTGGGGTTTGTTTGGTTTCTTTTTTCTTTTCCTTTTCCTTTTGCCTGCAACAAAACAGAATCATCCCAAGTCCTTTCCTGTCAAGAGTGAATTCTCTCTCTCTCTCTCTCTCTCTCTCTCTCTCTCTCTCTCTCTCTCTCTCTCTCTCTCCATAGCTCCCATGTGCTATAAATACACAGCTTTTGTGACATAAACACAAAGTTTTATTGTGCCGTTAGCCCTGATAGAAAGCACTGCGGAAAGTTGTTTAGAAATTAAATATCTAAAACAAGCTATTTTCAAATCCAGGGGCCTCACTATTTCATGTCTGCAATGAAGAAATTTCATCTTGGGGAGAGCAAGCTGTCTTTCACACCATATGGCTAATGGTGGTGCATAGCAATTAGCCAGGCTGATTAATGGTGAACAGACTCTAATTTTATGCTTATAATTGAGCCCACATTTGCACCCCTGGTGCAAATTCAGCACATCCCAACTTCCACTTACAACAGGCAAGAAATCAAGAGAAATAGGATGGCCTGGAAAGTGAGATTTTTTTTTCCTAAGCCCCCTAAAGAGCATCAGATTTGCAATTTAAAAGACTGTTAGCCACACAATAGATGACAGGTTTGGGTAATAGGGTCACTAGGCCCAGTAAACAAACAGCACCCCATCCACTCTATAGGCCAGGGTGGGTGTGTGTGGGGGGAAACTAGAATCTGTCATATTAGCAAAAAGACATTTTGAATATGGCTTTTCCCTCTTAGCCATGAACTACAAAAATCAGCATTTGCTGGAGCATTTTATTTTTTGCTATTTTTATGTTTCCGAACAACAGAAAGAGCATCAGTCATAAAGCATACCAACCAGCATCATAAAATACTTTGACCGATGAATTTTAAGAACAAGAAAATATAAAGTGCATTAATAGAGGGTTGCTTGTGTGTGAAAAGCATAATATATATTGAAGGATTTCAAGAATGGAAGTGTTTGCAGCACAGCCTGAACACGTATACGTCTGAGATGTAAATCTATGATGTATCGATATTAGTGGGCCCATTGCACGAGATCCATCTTCTTGTCTGTCTCCTATTTCACTAGAATCACATGTATGAGAACATGGCAAATCCATTCTAATGACATGCTAATTGTGGGCGGTTAAAACAGAGAGGTGGTGGGGGGAAGGATACCACAAATGAGGTCGGTTTTTCATGCTTTTGAAAATGATTTTACTCATTTAGTTCCACAAAAATGCAGCTCCGTCTTAATTGTAGAACTGTTGTACACAGTCTAACACTGATTCCTGCGGGAGACTATTTTCTTTAGAAATCCGTGACATTCGGGGCGCTGCTACTGTCTTAAAAATTAAAGAAAAGCAACCTGCTTTTGGAATAATTAACAAGTTTTATAAATCACTGAAGTGAAAACTTGTGAAACTCCTGTATATCTTAGAATAATATATGAGATGCATTTTTTTTTCAAAAAAAGAGGAAAAACAGTATGCTTCTAGATGCATCCCAGATTATAGAGGCTGAAGAAACTCCTCTTTGGGATTTTGCTAAGGGAATGCACTAAACCCTTCAGCATTTTATTTCCACCTGTAGAGTTTTAAGATGCCTTTTTTTTTTTTTTCTGCACTGCCAGTTTTCCTGGGAGAAGACTCCCGAGGCAAGGCACAGCTAACGGCCTGCATGGGCTTGTGGGAAAGCATCGGGAGTCCCCCCCAACCCCCACCCCGGTGCCAGAGAGAGCATGCATGGCCAACAAAGCAATTAGCAGAGTCTCTCTCTGATGAGATGGCGTCCTCCGGCTTTATCCAATTACTCAGAGTGAGCGGAGCAGGAGCAAAGGGCCGGTGTCAGGTTAGGAGTCTAATCTGCCAGGGACAGGCTGCCCTCCCAGGTCCAGGCTGCAAAGGAGTTGTATCTGCCCGAAACCGTTTCTTGGGCAATATTGAAGACCCTGGGAGATCTAAATGTTTAGACCTTTTAGAGACATCTTCACTCACCTTCCCAGGACCAAGCAGGGCAAGAACAACTAACTGCTACATTGTCAGAGTTATAGGAAGGGAACAAAATAAAGCAATCAAATATGGGGGGTCTTGGGGGCGTGGGGGAGGGAACTAGAAATTTCGGGTGGTATTATGCCTGTCCTATTTTCAGGTGGGTCACAAAAGACCCTTGAAGGACTGGAGAGCTAGCATAAGGGTTGAGCTGTGTACCTTGCATGTAACCCATCCCCAGCACCATATGGTGTTCCCCGCCTCCAGCTCCCAACATCACCGTGTGGTGTGGACCCGGGGCCCCCCAGCACTGCCAGCTGGCTCAGGTGATTCCCAGCACTCCACGGGGTCAGGCTTTCTTTAGCTCTTTGAGACAGCAGTTCAAACCACAGTTGGTCAAGAATCACTTGCAGTGGCCGGTGGGCCCTCAGAACTGTTTGTGAGGCCCAGATAAAATTTTTTTTAAAAGGGCAAACTATAACCTTCTAGTCTGCTCCAAACAGAAGCTTCCAGTGACATTAATCCAAGACTCACTCAGTTTACTAGCAATGTAGTTGCGTGCGCGTATTAACACTGCAAGGAATGCAGAGCGTTGAATTCGATCAGAGTTGGAAGAAGCCCAGGGCACTGCCTGGGCTCAAAAACAGAAACTTGGGGTGAAATCTCAACAATAATTGTGAACCAAGAGGTCCCTGGCAGTTTACAGCCAAATATATCCGACCGTTCTTCTCTGGATTATTTAATAGAAGCAAATAAATGTGCACACCCTCCCCCTACACACACACACACACACACACACACACACACACACACACGATCAGCATTTACTCAGATCTGAGATACAAATGCATCACCTCTTTGCTCATTAGTTTAAAAAAAAACAACAAGGCACGTCTTACCTGCACATGATCTCGTGCGTGAGCAGGACTCGGCACATTTCAGGATTCTTGTCTTGGCCTTCATACACTATGGCCTGCAAACAAAGGCAGGGTTTGAACTCAGGTTGGCGCTAAGGAGCAGAGCCCGGACCACTTTGCCATGGCCGCAGCCCCGGGAGTTGTGGGCAGCCCAAGTCCTCATGGATCGTTTCGTCGTTCCATATCCACCCAGACTGAGTAGAAGGGGGTTTACCACCCGCTGTCAGCTGGCACTCAGAATAGAAAGAAACCTAACCAATGGGGACGGGAAAGCCGAACTGCTCGGCAGATAGATTCTGATACTATTGGTTTAGAACACAGCAAAGAATGCACGTTGGGTGTCTCTGTGTGTGTTTGGAATGAGGGTGGCGGTGGGGTGGGGGTAGGGGGTCGTGGTGAGGGGAAGTGCTGGGGATGGAAGCCAGGGTCTAAAACAGAGTGGGTGCATGCACTGAGCTCTATCCCCAGACTGAAGTAGATTTATCCGTGACTGGTATTGGCTGCCTCATCTTCCTACTTCCAGCCCCAGTCTCCAGCGCTCTGGAAGTGGGGACAGGCAGAGTATCTCCTTCAACAACTGTAGCTTCTTGAAGAAGATGCAACAACAATCAGAGACCAAACTCCTTTCACTGAGTGAACACACACACACACACACACACACACACACACACACACACACACACACACACCAAAGAGCAAGCCCTCAGGAAGCTTTGGAACCCCCAACCCCCTCTAACCTAAGGAAAATGGCACCTGTCTTGCAAAATGACCCAGAGCACTTAACCACTGCACGAGGTCAAGCCACTTTTTTAAGAATGTGGGCGCATAAAACTTCCGACTACCACCACCCCACCCCAGGCAGGCTCCCCTGGATCCAGGTGGCCTGGAACATCTATGTATTGATACAAGCACTCACTCACAGGTCTAAGTAGCCAGTGCTGTGCACTGGGATACATTTTAACTAATTTAACACTGTATCATTGCGTAATCCTAATATACCAGCGCCTCAAATTATAAATAAAGCGACTTTCACACATCCGATCACCCTCAGTCTCTTGGTGTCAAAATTACTCAAATTAATCAAACACTCGCCTGATTTAGTACATACAAATGTTTCTGTGACTAACTTGCAGTTGGCTCTAATAGTCTTTGTTTAACAAATTAAACGATGATAAAAAGCACTGGCATACCGAGAATCTATTTTTCCATGCTGGGCCCATCATAAACCATTTTTTGTCCTTATGATAGTACTGCAGTTTTAATGTTTTACTTTTACGTCGTTTTAGACATAGGAAAGTTGCATCAATACTCAAATAACTCCAAGATATTCTAGAGAATTACCCAGATTCCTCAAATGTTTACATTTTGCCTCGTTTGCATCATTCTTTTCTCCCTCTCTATGTTTTCCCCAAACCATTTATTAGTGAATTGCAGACATGCCCCAAATACTTCAGCCCTCTTTCTTTAAAAGCCGGAATTCTCCCACATAACCACGGTCCAATTAACTGAACTGGAAAATTAACAGATACAATACAATAATCTGATCTACAGATCGCAATGAGATTCACCAATTATCCAATAATGTTCTTTCGAGTCGAAGAAAAGCCAATACAATCTTTGCCCACAGTATCCTTTCCCCTAGAATGCAGAGCACGCCTGGATTTTTGGTTTTTGGGACACTGGCATTGTTGAGGAATAGAACTGAGCTCTTTTGGAGAAGATCCCCAGCTTGGCTTTGTCTGAGGTTACCTCAGGCTGAGACTAAGGTTGGGCGATTTGCGGGGGAGGGGGCAGAACACCCCACACCGAAGGCCTAGCTTTCATCTAGCACACAGAAGAGTTTCACGACTTCAAGGCAAACTCGAGAGCACTGTACTAAGGAGCATCTGCTTGTCCACCCGCCAGCATCGGCCAGGTTTACATGCGGTCAAGTCCCTCCTTCGCCTCCTGTGATTCGGAACTACCTTCTGGAGTCAGAATCAAGACGGTCTAACTGTCCTCTCCGGCTCCGAGCCCCAGTTACCACTGCAGCACGTTTTTAAAAGACCCACGCCAATAGCCAGGAAGTTGAGTTACTCCAGAAAGTGCAGAAAGTACAGTAAAACCACACTGAAAGCCCCCAAATTATATCTGCCTACTTTATTTACTGCAACTACTGCTGAAAACCCAAAGAAACCCTGTTGATAGATTTGGGAACAAAATGTTTTCATTAGGACATTTTATTGTTATATGTATATATCTTAAAAATGTTTGCAACCAAGCAGTAGACTTAATCATCATTATTTGTAGGAAATGAAGGAGGGAGGGAGAAAAAAGAAAGGAAGATTTTTAAAAAAGACAGAAAGAAGGAAAGAAGAAAAGAAGGAAGGAGGGAGGGAGGAAGGAAGGAAGGAAGGAAGGAAGGAAGGAAGGAAGGAGTAACTAATAAAAATTCCTAATTAGATTTCATACGCAGGGCTGGAAAAATTCTAATCACACATTTCTGCAAAGTCCTATTATTGCCACATGCTTTATATGCTCTCTTATTGCCTCGATAACCTGTTTCAATTTTAGTTTATTGTCAAGCTAAACAAATGCAAATAACTTGGTAAATAATTCAAAAATGTTAGTGAGCCTTGCCCTCCTGTAAAAAATAAATAAATAAAGTTTGGGGATTGTTTTAATTTGGGGAGGGGAGAGGAGAGGAAAAGAAAGCAGTAATCAATTCTATCAATGTATAACCCGTCCTGTGATTCTTTCTAGATGATGACTGATAACATTTTTACTGCGACTGAGTGATAGCCGATTCAAAGATCGCTAGAAGCCAGAATGCCAACAGGCTCCCTGCTCTGTGCCAACAGCAGCCTCTCCCCGGACTCCAGGGAAGCCTGGGTTTTTATCTCTGGAGGCTGGACATCATTTGTGGCAGGCCCGGAGCCTCCATCTGTAATGCAGCCTTTCCCAGGTGCCAAACTGACGCCTGGCTTCTGGCGACAGAGTCAAAACAGAGCATCTTCCTGGAAATCAAGCACAGACCAATGAGAGCCGGAGTCTGATGTGATCGCATCGGTTTAGGGAGGGATGCGAGGGATTCTGAAGGCTGCCGGGGGGAGAGAGGGGGGACCTTCTGGGGGTCTCAACAGAACACTGTTTGTTTCTCGGCGCAGAAATGCAGGAAAAGAAGGGCTGCTTCTGGGACTCCAGAGAGCAAAGCAAGGAAAGCAGGGAGCCTTTCCCTTCTCCCATGGAGCAGAGGTAAAATCCGGGAACTAGAGAAATTGGTGGGGGATGGGGGAGCTCAGGGTGGCAGGAGAGTAGCACATTATACAGGGACGCTTGGTTAATGCCAGACCCACCTTCTAGCCCCTAAACGGTAGAGGTCTCTCTCAATCTCTCTCTCTCTCTCTCTCTCTCAGTATGTGTCTCACTCTGTCTCTCTCTTACTCTTACTCTCTGCCCCCCTCCCAACATCTCTCTGTCTCTCTCTCTCATCATCACATGCATAGGCCAAGGAATCAACATTCTGATGAGAAGCCATCTAAGAAAATCCGATAAATCTCTCCTCCGAATGGCTCTCGTGCAGAGTGCCAGCAATAAGAGCGTCTCAGAATGCCTCCGGCCCTCCCTCCCCGCTCCCTCTGCCCTCTGTGCTCAGCCCTCTGCCAGCTAAGCCAGACTGGAAGCCTGCAAGGACAGGGATCCTCTGCCACTAACTTCAGGAGAAGTTTCTGCTCTCCTTCCTGCTTCAATGCGGGCCTGTGTGGAGCATGAATAAAACTCATTGAGGCCGCATCAGCTGGGAGATGGCCGAGGCATATAAGCAGCGTTGACTATTTTAAGTGAAACCATTTTAATAGACAGCTGGTTTAGGGCCCAGACAATGGAATACCAAGAAGAGGGCTTATTTGCCTGCTGCCCAGTAAATCATGCGTCTGCTCACTGTGTGGAGGTAGTCCCCTGGAAGGGTGACAAAGACAGCCGCGTTTTAAATAAATCAATGTGTTTATCGGGAATAAGGAGAGGAGGCCCGGCCCTGGGGCGGCCAGGAGGGGGAGAGAAAGCTGATAAAATAAACTATTTAAATCCCCGAACTGATGGTGGGCAAAGTAGGTTGAGGTTGTAACCGAAGAAACAAAAAAATAGAAAATCAAGGAGAAAACGATGTTTACATTAATCCTGCCAGTGGCAAATAAATCCCTTAAGGTGGCAGCAATGCGCGTACAGGAAGAGAAGAAAAAGAATAAACAGCGCTAACTTCATCCCAACTTTAAAAAGCTGATGGAATTGATAAACGAGTTGTCAAAACTTGACATATTTGGAGCAGATTTATTTCTCTGATAGAGTAGCCTCCCTGCTCTTAATTGCCTTCTCTAATAAACAGAAATAAAGTATCACAATTATTTTAATGCTCTGTTTGTTAACTTTCAGATTCAGGGGTTTTTCAAGACTTTTTTTTAATTAACAAAAAAAAGAAAAAGAAAAAAAGGAAAAATGGGAAAGGTTAAACTCTCAAATCCTTCTATGACAGTGTGGGATCTGTAACTGTTAAAGGATAAAATACCTTTCCTTTCAAATACCTGCTTGGAAATGAACCTGTAACAACTTTAGAAAGGAATCAACCAACTCAGAAAACTGACCTCAGTGGCCACTATTGCAGAAAGCATATTCTAGAAAGGGTAGGCTCATCCTGCTTTCAGGGATGTTTCAAGAAAATATTATGGGCCTTGAAAGTTCACTGAAACTTATTATGAGTAAAGACCACACAGTCACTAAAAAAAAAAAAAAAGAAAAAAAAGAAAGAAAGAAAAGAAATAGTCAAGTCCTGGTGAACACACACCAGGATCACACTTCAATAGAACGTCAGGGGAAACCAGCATGGCTGTTCTTTGTTTACTTTTCTAATAGTTTTAACTCTTTATGTTCCAGGCCAGAATAAAGAGGGCAAGGCGAGGAGAATGTCTCTGACTTTGATTCATCAAAAATATGAAAGAATTTTAGGAACAAAATGTTTTTGTTAGGACATTTTCTTCTTTAAAAACATTTTAGTTTGCAGCCAAATAGTAATTATCATTATTTG